CCTGGCGTAACTTGAGGCCATTTCCTCTCGTCCTGTCGCCTGTGACTTGGGAGAAGAGACCGACCCCCATCTCTCTACCCCCTCCTTTCAGGGAGTTGTAGAGAGCAATAAGGTCTCCCCTCAGCCTCCTCTTCTCCAGACTGAACAACCCCAGCTCCCTCAGCCTCTCCTCATAAGACTTGTGCTCCAGACCCCTCACCATCTTTTTTGCCCTTCTCTGGACCTGCTCCAGCACCTCGATGTCTTTTTTGTGGTAGGGGGCCCAAAACTGGACACAGCACTCGAGGTGGGGCCTCACCAGTGAGGAACATGGAGGAACGAGAAACTGTTCAGTCACACACAATCACAGAATCATGTGGGTTTGGAAGGGACCTCAGGAGCGTTCTCCTAGAGACCCAACCCCAGCTTTGGGAATCGTCATGACTATGGGCATAGGCGTCCATTTCCATGGAGAGTAAACTCAGTGTTTGACTGAGACTCACCCAGTGGGTGAGCTGGGCAAGGCAGTCAGTTTGGGGGCTAGTGAAGTCCTTTCCTGAAATTAAGGCATCTGCTGGGTAGGGCAGGCACTTTACGTCACGCTGCCACTCGTAGTGGCTAATTGAGGACCTCGAGTTTTAATCAGGTTGGTAATTTCTCACCACACTGCCTGTAGTTTCTGCGTCGCCAACTGTGGGGCGCTGCAGGAGGAGCTGATGGCTCCTGAATGCGCCGTGATGACAAAAAAGGGGTGTTATATTCACTGTTAAGTGGTTGATAGGGGTGTATTTTTCAGCCCGGGGAGAATTTGGGGTGCTGTGTGTCAGGCAGTACGTGGTTATTTACTGAGTCTGTCAACAGCCATCGGTCACAGCCCATCTGCTTCCGTGCAGTTTCTGGTCTGAGCGAGGTTATGTCCAGCTGGCTCAGGGAGACCCCAAAGGGCAGGCTCTTCCCCTCAGTAAATATGAGTATTAGTTCCAAGCTGCTGTTTATGCACTTCCTAAATAATTACCTCCAACCAATATCTCGTTAGAATTCCCAAGCTGAAAGAATTACGCAGAAAGCCAGGCAATTTCACTCCCCCTGAATTTGCAAGTGTGTTTTGCTTCTGCGGAAGCGAAGATATTAATCTCCTCCCCGTAGCCATGGTGAGGCGGGAATCTCTTTAATTGCGAGGAGGAAGATTCAGATGAGACATTCAGAAGAACTTCACGGGGAAGATTTTGGAGCCCTGGAGCAGAGAGATAGGGATGGTGACCCCGTGCCCTTCACAGACTGGCTCTGAGAAGAGATGAGACATCTTCGGGGACGAAGGGGGGAAGAGCAGATCCTGCCTTGGGGTAGGGGTTGGACCACAAGACCTCTCCAGGTCCCTTCCAGTCATGTTTTCTGTGATGCTCCACACAAGTTAGTACCAAAAATAAAAAATCACACTGGTTCTGTAAAGCTACAGGGAATAAGCAGGGGGAAGAAAAAAAAAAAAGCACTGTGTTATTTTTCTTGCCAAAAAAGAGATGAGACATCTTCGGGGACGAAGGGGGGAAGAGCAGATCCTGCCTTGGGGTAGGGGTTGGACCACAAGACCTCTCCAGGTCCCTTCCAGTCATGTTTTCTGTGATGCTCCACACAAGTTAGTACCAAAAATAAAAAATCACACTGGTTCTGTAAAGCTACAGGGAATAAGCAGGGAAAAAAAAAAAAAAAACACTCTGTTATTTTTCTTGCCAAAGCAGCATTCTTAAAAACATCCATCGGGCATCATAGCTGCTTACTTCTTTTTAACATAAAATCCCCACGCACCAAATTTGTGTCTCTATATTTCCCTTTTGAAGGAAAAGTAGATATAAACACAACTATTTTGCCATTTTTTATTCCAGAATCAGCAAACATTATTGTGACTTTGCTTTTCAGTGCTGATGATTTGTAGCATTAAACCGGACTGGGCTGGCTTTCCAGAGGCTTCTGCTGTTGCCAAAATGGATGGAAAGCTGTGTTATGGTATAAGGGCTCGTGGGGAGTGAGGTGAAGGGGTGCCCCAGTGTGAATCGCTCTCCCAGCTCTTGCATATTGACATTTGTAGGTAGTTTGGGCTAAAAAATTTTCAGCTGAAGATTTTTCTGTTGAAAAAATGGAAATCTTGTTAAAATAGAAAGGTTTCCCTCAAATGTCAGGTGAGGAATAAGAAATTAGGGGAAGAAATCATTCTGACTTCCTTGTTCTGTTTTAGCAATAGCAAGATATTTGCATTTCATTGCAGGATGCATTTTCTTCTCATATCAGAGTTTATTTAGGTGGATCATTTACTCTATCGTATTAGAGGGATTTTTTACAAGGGCATGTAGTAATAGGACGAGGGGTAACGGTTTTAATCAGAAAGATGGGAGATTGAGATGAGATCTCAGGAAGAAATTCTTTGGTGTGAGGGTGGTGAGAGCCTGGCCCAGGTTGCCCAGAGAAGCTGTGGCTGCCCCATCCCTGGAGGTGTCCAAGGCCAGGCTGGATGGGGCTTGGAGCAACCTGGGCTGGTGGGAGGTGTCCCTGCCCAGGGCAGGGGGTGGCACTGGGTGATCTTTAAGGTCACTTCCAACCCGAACCATACCCCTGCTTCTATGATTATTCAGATTCTCAAAGTATTTTGGGAAGAGGATAGAATTTCTATTCCATGGTGAATTTAGACTTTCTTTCTACTCAAGAGTTAAAACTTTTCTACTGTTGGAATTTCCAATGGACTAGAAATGTCACTTTTCAACTAGCTCTGAGTATCACTGGGTTGTCTCACCCTTTGGTTGTCACACATCTGTTTAAATGGGACAAGTTACATTGGAGTAAAAATATTACAGTTTTAGTAATAAAAAGATCAGTCTGTGGAGCCAGTTTGGTAATAGCTTCGTTAACTATTCTCTTGTGCAAATCTGTTTGTACAACTGGAGCGTGGATCCAAAGAACTTAGATCATTGAGTTGAGTTCTCGGTGATTTGAGACCAGATTTATGAAAACGATTTAATCTTTTTTTTCCTTTCTTAGAGCAACTTTTCAGTGAAAAGAGGAAACCTTTGAAAAAAACATTACATCCCCAAAATTGGCAGTCGCTGCTCTGGCACATATTAAAGTATTTGGACTTGTTTCTTCTCATGGCTTTTTTCCACTGTCTAAATCACACTAATATCAGATCCAAAATAATTTTACTTTGTTATTTCATTTAGTCTGGACGCAAATTAACCTAGAGTTTATTCAGTCTTCACTTTGCCTGAAGAAGGGCAGGCCTGACGTACAGGAAATATATTTTTTTTTACATTCTTTGTGGGTTTTGCAGTGAAAATTGTAAGTGCTAACTTGAATTATTTAGGATATCATATAATCTCTTTTCTGTATTTGTTACAGAGTCTGATTTTTTTGATATCTTTATGGCAAAATGGGTTTCTGAGTTCCTATTTTGTTAAGGATTATAGTCTGCTGATCAAAATGGACACTTTATATTTCAAGACTGCAGACGTTTGTGAAGTAACATTACTAAAATTTGTGGTAACTGTTATCTGTTATCAGAGATCTAAAGGCTTACTGAATAAAAAAGGGATATTAACAGAGCATTCATGGAAAGGATTGAGAATATACGCAGGGTAAAAAACCAATGGAGCCATATGAAGCTAAAAATGCTCCAGATTAGGCTTTATAATGAAATTATAATATTAAACAAGGTATAAGAGCTATCAGCCTAATCAAATTCTGTTGTTATAAAATTGTGAGGTATCCGAGCTGGAAACTATTAACTATCACTGCATATTATGTATGCATAATATGAACATTTAAACAGATAAATCTTACAAAGTTGAACTAATTACATGCATATTAGCATTTGGGAAGTGAAAATGGGTAACAGGCTGACTGGAAGGCACAGGGTGCACGTGCTCTGCTTTGGCCTCCTTCAGTGACACTCAGGTAACGTTCCTCCCCTAGCCATGACTCAATTCCAGTAGCCACTGTTTCTTATCTCTCTCTCTCCTCTTGCCTTCCTCTGCTTTTAGGAGCAGTATCAGCAGGCAGAGACCTGATCCAGGCTGAGATGCCTCCTCCTCCTCCTCCCAAATTCCCTGCCTTTCCTCCACGTCTCTGTCTTTGGCTCTCCAGACCTTGCCCTCTTACTCCGTTTCCTTATTTTCTTACCTTGTATCTTGCTCCTTCCCCTGTCTCCCATCATTTCTCTGAAGCATGTTGGGCTGCCCTGCCTTTTCCTTTCCCGGTGGTGCTTTTCTTCTCAATCCCCTCTTGGATCTCTTGACAGTCCGTCCAACGTTTCCCCCCGGCACTTCATGCTCTGAGCTCGTTTGTCTTCTCCTTCCCCTCCTCCCTCTCCCGCTCCATTCCTGTCTCCGAGGGAGCGAAGCAGAAATCAAAGAGAGTGACATTAGCAAGCAGAGCCCTCACGAGTTTACTTTGCTCCTACAGTTAAATTAACGAGCTTTCCAGCCATTCTGGAAGGGGGTTGAAATCACAAGGAATGTGAAATCCTCACCGTAATTTTATAGACCAGAGGGAATCGCAGGTAAAAATGTATTTTTGTTGTTTTTTGCACAGTATGACCCTTTGCATATTTGCTGTGTGATGCAGGGTGAGGTGCTGCCTCTGGCCTGGCTTTGGTTGGTTTCCCCACGTACCAGGCACATCATCTGGAGCTACTGGCATTTGGGAGCAGGGAGGGGATGGTACTCTGCTGGTATCCCCTTCCTTGCTAGCCATGACTCAATTCCAGTAGCCACTGTTTCTTATCTCTCTCTCTCCTCTTGCCTTCCTCTGCTTTTAGGAGCAGTATCAGCAGGCAGAGACCTGATCCAGGCTGAGATGCCTCCTCCTCCTCCTCCCAAATTCCCTGCCTTTCCTCCACGTCTCTGTCTTTGGCTCTCCAGACCTTGCCCTCTTACTCCGTTTCCTTATTTTCTTACCTTGTATCTTGCTCCTTCCCCTGTCTCCCATCATTTCTCTGAAGCATGTTGGGCTGCCCTGCCTTTTCCTTTCCCGGTGGTGCTTTTCTTCTCAATCCCCTCTTGGATCTCTTGACAGTCCGTCCAACGTTTCCCCCCGGCACTTCATGCTCTGAGCTCGTTTGTCTTCTCCTTCCCCTCCTCCCTCTCCCGCTCCATTCCTGTCTCCGAGGGAGCGAAGCAGAAATCAAAGAGAGTGACATTAGCAAGCAGAGCCCTCACGAGTTTACTTTGCTCCTACAGTTAAATTAACGAGCTTTCCAGCCATTCTGGAAGGGGGTTGAAATCACAAGGAATGTGAAATCCTCACCGTAATTTTATAGACCAGAGGGAATCGCAGGTAAAAATGTATTTTTTGTTGTTTTTTGCAGAGTGTGACCCTTTGCATATTGGCTGTGTGATGCAGGGTGAGGTGCTGCCTCTGGCCTGGCTTTGGTTGGTTTCCCCACGTACCAGGCACATCATCTGGAGCTACTGGCATTTGGGAGCAGGGAGGGGATGGTACTCTGCTGGTATCCCCTTCCTTGTGGAGTCTGGCTTGGAAATACGGAGATTTGGCTTGTAAAAATAGTCTGTAGAACTTGTACTCAAAGATTCCCTTTAGATAAAAGCTAGTATTTCGTTTTGATCAGATAAAAATTATGCCCCAGTAGCCTGGCCAAAAGGCGATTAAAAGAATTCCCTCTATTCAAAATTTGATCAGATAAAAATTATGCCCCAGTAGCAGTATCAATTCACTCGCACTTTTATTCTATATTAAGACGTTCACAATTCAGTTTTCATGATTAATACCGTTACACCATTTCCTGTAACATTTGTGGGGTTTTATTTTCCTATAACATTTGTGTTTCTATTTGTGTTCATTTTCCTCTCACATTCATGTTTCGGTAATGAGAGTATCTAAAAACGCCTGGTTTTCTTTTTCCTTGCAATTTTGGGGCTTTCATTCTAATTTAATTCTAATTTTCTTAAAAATATCAGAATTTTGTACGCAATCATAATCTGGATTTTTTTGCCCCCTCTCAACAGCATTCTCTGAATGTCCTTGGTGTCAGAGTGCTTTTTAGATACTTTTACCCCCTCGCCATCAACAGCCTTCTATACCCTCTGCTCTTGCTACTGCTTGCTTTATCAACCATACTCACTAAAACAGGTTTGTTCAGCCCATTTTCATATTGGTGCATGGACTTCTGTGGCACCACCTGAGCCCTTGATCGCAACCATGTCTTACAAGCGCAGTGTCTTTAATCTTCCTGTATTATATTTACTGAAGCAACAAAAGACATATTCTCTTCATTCTTAACCGCCTCTGAACGGCCTTTCTGGGGACACTTTTGAGGTACCCACTCCTTTCCTGAGTGCCTCGTTATCCCCGTTGCCTGTCCCAGTCCAGCAGGCAGTAGATATATTTCTCTCTTAAAGCACGTTTCAGGGACCGGTTGGTTCTCTGTTAGTCAGGAGTTGGTGCTTCTCCTCGTCTCCACGTGGCACAAATTGGAACTCCAGCAGGAGTAACCCTCTCTCAGCATTTCAAGCCTGGCCAAAAGGCGATTAAAAGACTTCCCTCTATTCAAACAAGCTAAATATTCCCCCTGCCCCGAGAAGTTGGAAGGAAAAATCTCAGGTGGATATGCTGGACTTGTGCATGGCCACACGCTGAAGAACAACATGGTTTTTTAAACCTTCCCTTAGATACATCAGTAGTACGCAAATACGGAACCGTGTTTCATGCAACACGCCATTTCTGAGAGGAGCGTAGTGACAAAAAGTGATAAATTGATAGTGATAAATCGTTACATACATTTTTTAAATTTCTAACTTCCATTTACTTTGATGGAACAAAAGCAGGGATATCAAGGAATAAAGTTACTAAGGAATAAAAGCAGAACCAGGAAACCATTGAATAGGTAATAATATCAAAACAGCAACGCTGGAGACACATCAACATTATTACATCTTACATGTATGAGAACGCTCGTATGAGTGTGCTTTGATTTCTGTCAAGAAAATTGGCATGTGATGCCTCTGCGGTTTTAGAAAGCACTTTAGAAGTAAGGATAGTTCAGCAAAAAACCACTATTGTTCCTATTAACGACATAAATGTCCTGCGTTGTCAATCCAGTCAGCTCAGCTCAGCCTCCTGAAAGTATCCGTTTCACTTCTGGCTTTATCAGGGACTTAATAATACCATTTGTTCAGTTATTGGCATGTTAATATTCTTGTCCCCCGTGGATTTGCTCTGTCAAACAGCAGGCAGGGAGGCTGCAGCCCAGCTCCCTCTCCTCGACGCTCCCTTCACAGGGGACCCGCGGTGGGAGGGTGGGAGGGCGGTGAAAAGGCAGCTCTCTCTCTGCTCAGTCACACTGTGTTCAAATGCACAGCCCCCATTTTCAAGCCTCATCAAGAGATTTGGTCATCCTTGATGTCCCCAGTGAGGCCAGACTGATCAGGTCCCCCGGAGCCTACAAGGCACGTGCAGTTCCAAGTCCTATCTAATCTCCCCCAAAATGGGGAGAGTCTGTCGCTTCTGAAGCCTCCATTGGTTGGGTGGGACTCATGCTCTGAAGGAATAAGGATGTTATTTGATATTAACCATAGAACCCACATCTAGCAATATTTACCATCCTGGCATCCCACTGTCCTAAGAGAGAAAAAAAAAGCACCTGTATAATTTTGCGTTCCTTTTGCTAAATTTGCCTTTCAGGCATTATGCAGTTTAGTAAGTTCATTATGTCCACTTTACGTGAGCACGTAAAAACATCCTCAGAGTTTTTACCTTTCAAAATGGGGGAAAAAAAAAAAAAAAAGAAGAAATAAGAGGAGAAAAGCAACATTGCAGCCAGTATTTATACTGACAGGGCACATGGTTTATTTGTACAGTCAGAGGTGAGCTAGGAAGGCGGAGGGGAGGTGATGCAGAAACAAACAGCGGCCCCAGGGAGCCCCGAGATGAAGGACACGATGGGGGGAAGCTGCTGTGGGGCAGGACCTGGCTCAGCAAACCCCAGCAAAAGCCCCTGTGGGGCTGGGGGTCACAAATTCCCATCAGAGGGAAGTTGAAAAGCTGGGGTTGAGTGTTGAGGTCTTGTAGGTAAATGTCTGGCTGCTGTAATTTAGGCTCATCTTCATAAGGAGAAGGTGCCCTGCTCCATCCTCAGATGCTGCTTATGGTTTCAGCCACATCACATCCATCCCACTGCTCCCGGGGAACCCTTTGCTCTTGTGCCAACACTGGAATTATGCTTCCTCCTTGTCAGAGAGCACCATCATCATTACATTACAGGTGGGGGTCGGTCTCTTCTCTCAAGTCACAGGCAATAGGACAAGAGGAAATGGCCTCCAGTTGCACCAGGGGAGGATTTGGATGGATATTAGGAAAAAAAATCCTCACCAAAGGGTTGTCAAGCCTTGGAACAGGCTGCCCAGGGCAGTGGTGGAGCCACCATCCCTGGAGGTGTTTAAAAGACGTGTAGACGTGGTGCTGAGAGATACGATTTAGTGATGACTTTTGTCAGTGTTAGGTTGATGGATGGACTCAGTGATCTTAAAGGTCCTTTCCAACCGTAACGATTCCATGATTCTGTGATTCTATTAACGCAATTTATTTGTTCATGTCACAAATGCGAGTATGAAAGAATTCTTGGTTTTGTGAATCCTTCTGAGAACATAGATGGCAGGTGCTCACCGTGGCAAACAGCACAGCGTGGGAGGATTGCAGCACCCTACAGCCACGAGCGAAAAATGTGGCAGTTTGGCCAAAAAAAAGTCAGGAAAGTTTAAAAAAAGCAAAGAAGCACCACTCCTGCTGAATACCTGTCTCTGGAAGTCATTTTGGATTGGGCTGTGAAGGTGGTCAGGCTTCCTTGTTTGCCTGGTTGGTCGATGGAGCGGAAAATGAGCATCCCAAATTTCTCAGTGCAGGAGCGAGGGAGCCATGGGGAAGGCAGGTCTCCAGGCATCTCCCGGAGCTCCCTTCCCAACAGACACGTTTTCTGCAGTGATTTTCTCGTTCAGAGCGTGCCTGTTGTTCTGCAGATGAGTTATGGCTGTCAGGAACGGCCTATTTAGGTGAATTGTTCGCATGTCTGGTGTGCTGAATGCCAGTTTACGGAAAAAAAAAAGACTGAAAACTACCCTTTTAACGTTATGACAAAATAGACACGCGCACACACAAAAAAGCCTCAAAAGCTGCCGTTATAACAGGAGAAGGTGAACAGAGAAATTGTCAATCATTTTCAAGCTGAGGAAATTTTTTCATTAAAGCCGGGCTGAAAAATTCATCCTGACCTTGTTGTTAAGATAAAAGAGCATCACCTAAATTATTTAACCAGTTGTGCAAACAGTTGCATAAGACTTTCCCAGATGAAAATGGGATAAAGACCCTTTCCCCATGGAAGGCAGCCATCGGATAAAGGGACAGGAAGAGTGGACTGGCTGCTCGAATTTAAGCTTGAGTTATCTGACACTTGATTGAGCAGGATGAGGGAATTTAGCTGATCCTAGAACTTTTAATGCCCTTCCAGCCTTCGTGGGTTTGTGAGTTTGCATTTTCTGCCCAAATTCCATTAAAAAAAAAAAAAGGTAGACCGATAAATTCCTGTCCAGAATTACACTTGGGGCTGCGGTTTAATTCAGATCCTTCCTCTAATCATTCCTAGACCTATTTTCTGTAATTCCTATTTATCTATGATCTTCTCTGAGCTAGGCATAGCAGAGGGAGAGGGAAAGGAAAAGCAGCAGAGCAGGAAGGAAAGGGAGAAGGAGGGAAGGAGCCTTTTTTTTTTCTCATATACTTAAAATTCTGTAAGGCTGGAAATAATATTGAATTTTTGTATCATGCTTAACAATATTCCAGATAAGAACAAAGGAAAAACACTACCCTTCATAGACAATAGTCAAGTCTAAACAAAAAAATCAATCCACTTGTCATAATTTACAAGCCTACTAACATACATCAAATTGTCATTTATGACACATTTGCTTCCTTCTTGATAAGCAAAACAAAACAATATTAACAAGAAATACAGCTATCTCGCTGTTTATAGTTCCACTTTAAAAAAAAAAAAAAATCCATCTGTTATATCTCAGAAAGAAGGTACAGTTCAATATTTTGGTTTTCCTGATATATTTTTTCTGTGAATCCACAAGCAAAAAAAATCCA